CGGCAGTGGCTGAATCAGGACGCCTGGGGCAGAGCAGCTGGGGTGCTGCCGGGTTGGTCCAGTAGCGCCCAGAGTGGCGCTACGGGACCAACCGGCAGCGCCCCAGCTGCTGTACCACAGGCGTCCGGAGCAAAGCCGCGGAGCACGGGGGCAGCGGGACAGCCCAGACGCGCTGTGGCTGTCCTGCTGCCCTCGGGCTCCGTGGCTTTGCTCTGCTTTGCTCCCCGTCCCCCTGGTCTGCAGACGGGGAGCAAAGCGGCAGAACACGCGGGCAGCGGACAGCCCAGACACATCTGGGCTGTCCGCTGCCCGCATGCTCCGCCGCTTTGCTTCCTCTACCTGGTCTGCTGGAGACCAGGGAGACAGGCCCCGTTCGTAACTGTGGATCCGACATAAATCGGATCCGCGTAACTCGGGGACTGCCTGTACGTTTAAGAGGCAGAGGTGCAGCATCTGAGACTGGGTGCAAGCCAGGAAATCAGACCATTCCCAGCTCATGCCTGGTCCCCGCAATCCCTGCACATTCCCAATCCCCCGCCATCCCCTGACAATCCTGGGAGGAATTGGCTTTTAAGCTGGCTTTCCCCAGCACTGGCTTCTGCTCCCCCGCCCTTGCTGCCTGATAGTGGCAGCAAGAAATGGGGGGGAGGGGAGGGGAGGAGAGAAGTGACTAGTCGAGGGACTCGACTATCTGATAAGCATAAGCTTATCGGATAGTGGACGACTAGTCACTTAGCATGTGATTAGGGACTAGGGATGTAAGTCAATTGCCCCTAAACAAAGGTGGGGGAGGGGCGGTTTTTAGCAGCAGCAGTTCACAATAGAATTTGTGAGAGCTCTGCAATGCAGAGTGGAAGCCTGGTCTTCAGTCAGTCTAATTTTGAACAGCCAGCTTTGAAAATTTTAACCATTTTCCACTTAGACCTCAAAGTGTCTCATTGTTTAGATCAGGGGCTTTTCAAGCTGAGTCGCAGGCCCGCTTGGGGAAGCCACTGGCGGGGGACGAGACTCTGTCTATGCAAGCATCCATAAGCATAAAGCCTCACAGCTCGACCTGGCAGCAGTTGGCCGTTTTGGAAACGTTGAACCGCAACCAATGGGAGCGGTGAGGCTTCATACCTATGGACACTTGCATAAACAAAGCATCTCGTTACCTGCTTACCTGGGCAGGCCTGCGACCCAGCTTTAAAAGCCCCTGGTTTAGACAATATCTTCCTTGAAGCTTAAGCACAAAACCCCGTTTCTTCCCAAGTTTTCTTACTGATACTACATAGGGTTGCCTGCGGTTTTACCTTGGACTAAGACAGGAGTAGGCAAAAGGGCCTCTGCAGGCCGTATCCGACCCGCAGAAGCCCTTCCGCTCCCCTACCCCCAAGCTAATTAGGGTCTGGGGGTAGGGGAGCACGTGAAGCTTCCTCCTGCCCTGCCAGGAGCACGCAGAACTTTGAAGTGCCATGCGCTCCTTGCAGGGCAGGAGGAGACGTCACGCCCCCTACCCCACCCCCGAGTAGCGTGTGGCATTTCAAAGTGCCGCACATGCGCGCAGAGGGGAGGCAGGGTGAAGGAAGCTTTGCGCAGCTCCCCCACCCCCAGGCCAATCAGGGTCTGGGGACGGAGGAGCTGTGTAAAGCTCCCTTCGCCATGCCCCGGCCTTGCGAGGAGCACACTGTACTTCAAAGTGCCACACCCTCCTTGCAGGACGGGAGGAGTCTTTGCGCACTCCCCCGCCCCCAGGCCTAACTGGCCTGGGGCAGGGGAGCATGCAAAGCTCTTCCCGCCCTGCCAGGGGCATGGGTGCATAGTGGGGGTGGGGGGCAAAGGGGCCCCCCCATTCCCAGACCAATCATGGTCTGGGGGTGGGGAAGCCCAGAAGCATCCTTCTCCGCCCCTTCCAGGTCAGCCCAGGGCCACTTGGCCAAAAATTATTGCCCACCCCGGGCTAAGATATGTGAAAATGTTGTTGAAAATATGGCCACAGTTGAGCAAGTGAAGCCTATTATTGTCAATAGCCAGGGAGAGCATTAGAGAGCTGATTGCTGTTACCCTAGAATTGCATTTTTCTCTACCTTCTTGCACATTCGTTACTGGTAGATACGAAATTCTGGTCTGACTAAAATAACTAAGCCTCTGAGCTACTCTCTCCCACGCATTTTTTCACTAGGTATGAAGGGGAAGCAATAAAGTACAGCTACACAGTTACAAAACTCACAGGCCATTTTCTTGGTACTCCCAGTTTATTCAAACAGCAGTGGGATACAGGAGTTTACAAGAGAGCCGCTCTACCTGTTCAAGCCTAGTTTCTAGCATTTGGATAAAAGTTTCTAGAAAGCTTTTTGGAGCTTTGCCCAATATTACAACACAAGAAAGTGAGGATTCTTTAGTTCTACATGAGTTACTGCATGAGCTTACTTAATGCCATTATTTTAAAAAAAAATTAAAAAAATTAATGATGTTCCTCAATGCATTTTAGATTACCTTAAGAAAAACTAGTTCATAGCTACTGTAAAAACTTACATATTTAAGAATAACATCACCAATGCTTTTGCTTTCAGCCCAGTTTATCATAAGGTCTTCAAGGTCTTCCTGGAATATAAACAATTGTATTAGGGAGACAAAAACAGCCTGATTTAAGAGCCAAATATTTTAAGTTGCATAGCTTTGTAAACCTGCAGCTAGTATTTACTCTTTTCTCTACTCAGGATGTGACTGTGTGGCAATTACCGTGGCATCCAACACTTACTAGAGAATTGTGCTCCAGATTCTAACCTTACATACCATTCAAACATATGTTTTCCTTTCCATCATTGTGAAACAGCTTTCAAAATATCTGAGTGTAGATAATACAGGGTTACCTTCCAGTTTGCAGACAGACACTTGAGCTTGTGCATTTTCAAATGGGATATTAACTCCCCATGATGGTAGTTACGGAAAGGGTGTGAGAGAATGAAAACCAATTGTAAGTTCAACTATCACTTGGACATCCACTCTCCTTTTCTTCCTCTCACCCCTGTTCTCTCCTACCCCGATATAGGGAATGCAATCTTTGACGTCAGGACATACCAATCCAAATGACTAGGGAGCTGTGCCACCGTTGCATGATGCTTCAGCTTGCAGGACAATGCCCTATCATTGTAGCTCCCAATCCGGACCACTCATTAATAGCTTGCCAGCACACAGGTCACTCCCAGATGTGTTTGTGTAAGTGTAGCCTGTCAGTCACACCCTGGTTCCCACAAACATTGTTTATACTGCAATGACCCCAACGTACATCTAGTCCTGGATTTTCCTCCAGAAGTGTATTTTTTATACTGCCTTGCCTTCTCCTGGACAGTCCAAATATATTAAGCCCACAAGGAATTCCTTGAGTATTCATCTGGAGATATCCAAGGCCAAGGAAGCTATCCAGCTACACAGGACAGCTGGCACGTCACTGGGGGGAGGAGGAAGTGGCTCTGTCATAGGGAGAGGGAGGACACTGGCAGCTGATCACTTCTGGTAGAAGGTAGTGCTCCACCCCTGTTCCCAACCCACCCACCATAATTCTGGAGAATCACTATGCTGCTCTGGCCATGAGAGATGAAGAATTATCCTCTAAGACAGAGAAGAAGCCATGCACTCTCTCTCCTCTCCCCAAGTCTGGGAGGGCTGTAGCCACCATTCCCAAGAGGAACAGAAGGTAGTGGTGGCTGGAGACTGAGGGGAATGGAGGCACGCATCTGTTGTCCAGACATGGCATTCTGGGAGGTATGCTGCCTGCCAAGGGCCCACATCCAAGACTTATAGAGTGAGTGTCAAGAATCATCCAGCCCTTTGACTAGTATCCCATGCTACTCATCCAAGTGGGCACTAATAAGAGGTGTGACCCTTATCAGATAAAAAAAAAATTACTACAGGGCTCAGAGTGCATTTGAGGGAGTTTGGGGCAGAGATGGTGTTCTCTTTGATCCTTCTGGTCAAAGATAAGGGCCCAGGCAGAGACAGATACATCCTGGAGATGAATGCCTGACTGAAGATGGTATTTCCAGGAGGGCTTTGGCTTCCTGGACCAAAGATTGCTGTTCCAGGAAGAACCACCACTAAGCAGAGATGGCATCCACCTACTGAGGAAGGAGAAGAGAGTATTATTTGGATTCAGACTGGCTGATCTAATGAGGAGAGCTTTAAACTAGGTTTGACCTGGACAGGTGACCAATACCCACAGTCAGTAAAAAACTGGCATGGGGGAAAGAGAGGAGGAAGGGTGGCATGGGTTGCAATAGCAAGGAGAAAAAGCATAACTGCAGGGCTAGAACAATTCAGTAGCTTAAGTTGTCTGTATACAAATGCAAGAAGTATAGGGAATAAGCCAGAAGAACTTGAAATACTAGTACAGGCAGTCCCTGGGTTATGTGGATCCAACTTATGTCTGATCCCTACATACGAACGGGGCTTTTCTCGCCACGGAGGACGCAGGCGGCGGGACCACCCAGACGTGCCGCAGTCCCGCCGCCCGCGTCCTCCCCATTGAGAAATACCACTCCGCGTCTCCCTAGAGCACCCCCCCTCTCCCTCCAGCAGACCAGGCTTTTCTCACCGACGCCTGGGGTAGAGCAGCTGGGGTGCTGCCGTGTTGGTCCCCGCAGCGCCGAAGTGCGACACTGCGGGGACCTACCTGGCAGCGCCCCAGCTGCTCTGTCCCAGGCGTCCAGGTTCAGCCGCTGTTGAAACTGATCAGCGGCTGATTCCAGGAAGCCCGGGGCAGAGCAACTCTGCCTCGGGCTTCCTGTAGTCAGCCACTGGTCAGTTTCAGCAGCAGCCGAATCTGGACGCCAGTTCAGACTTACATACAAATTCAACTTAAGAACAAACCTACAGTCCCTATCTTGTACGTACCCCGGGGACTGCCTGTAAACAAAACACAACCGTGACAGCTGGTATCACAGAGACTTGGTGGAATAATACATGTAGCTGGAATATTGAATAGAAGGGTACAGCTTGCTCAGGAATGACCAGCAGGGGAAAAATGGAAGATTTTTTTTTTTTAAAAGAGTAAAGTACACACTTGGACTGAAGTTGAGATGGAAATAGGACAGATTTGTTGAGAGTCTCTGCATGGTAGGGATCTATTACAGATCTCTTAACCAGTAGAAGAGGTGGACCCATCAACAAAAGCCATCAAAAGCACAGAATTTGGTGGTTATGGGGGACTGTAACTATCCAGACATCTACTGAGGAAAACAACACAGTAGGCACATATTGTCCAGTAATTTCTTGGAATATATTTTGAGACTTTATTTTAGAAGATGAAGAAAGCTAATGGGAGGCAGTTCTAGATAGGATTTTAACCAACAGGGAGGAACTGGTTGAGAATTTGAAAGTGGAAGTAATCATGAAATGATAAGAGTGAGATACTAAGGAATGGTAGGAGGAAGAACAGCAAAATACAGACAATGGATTTCAAGAAGATAGACTTTAGCTAACTGGGAATTTGCAGGTAAGGTCTCATGGAAAAAGGAACAAACAACTGAAGACAGTTCGCAGCTTTTGGAGAGAGATATTATTAAGGGTGCAGGAGCACACTATTCCATTGCATAAGAAGATAGGAAGTACGGAAGGAGACCACCCTGACTAAATCAGGAGATATTAAATAATCTAAATATGAAAAAGGAATCACACAAAAAGTGAAATTACATCAAGTTACAAAGAATGAATACAAACTAAGAAAAGTGTGTAGGGATAAAATGAGAAATGCTAAGGCACGAAACAAGTTCAAATTAGCTACATAAAAAGTAACAAAAACATTCTACAAATATATTAAGAGGAAGATAAATATAGGGTAGGCCCATAACTCAAATGGAGGGGGGGGGGGCAACAGAAAATATGGAAATAGGAGAGGCGCTTAATGACTTTTGTTTTTATTTTCACCAAGAATTCTGGTAGTGACTGGACACCTGACTGGACTCTTAACATAGTGAGAAATTCAGAAGCTTAAAATAAGAAAAGAACAAAAGTTAAAATTTACTTAGATAAGTTAGGTGGCCTTCAAGTCACCAGGGCCTGATAAAAATGCATCCTAGAATACTCAAGGAGGTGATTGGGGACATATCTGAGACATTAGTTATAATCTAAGTCATGGAAAACCAGACAAATTCCAGAAGACCGGAAAAGGCAACTATATAGCTCATCTATAAAAAGGAAAAGGAAATAAGAACCACCCAGGAAACTATGGACCAAATCAGTTTAACTTCTGTATTGAGATGGAGCCAATAATTAAGGAATCCATTTGCAAATATCTAGACGTTAATATGGTCATAAGTAACAGTCAGCATGGATCTGTAAAGAACAAATTATGTCAAACCAAGCTGATAGTTTTCTTTGATAAGCCTTGTGGTAAGGGGGAAGCAGATGTGATTAACCTAGGGTACGTCTAGACTACATGCCTCTGTCGCCAGAGGCATGTAGATTAGGCTACCCGACAGAGTAAAATGAAGCGGCGATTTAAATAATGCCTCATACCTGGGTTGTCGACAGCTTCCTTTGATGTCGGCAGGGGAGCGTCCAGACTATCGCGCTGAGCCGACAAACAGCTGATCAGCTGTTTGTCGGCTCAAAGCGGCAGCCATGTAAATTTAAATGAAGCGGCGATTATTTAAATCGCCGCTTCATTTTACTCTGTCGGGTAGCCTAATCTACATGCCTCTGGCGACAGAGGCATGTAGTCTAGACGTACCCCTAGACTTTAGAAAGTATTTAATACAGTCTCTCATGGCCTTCTCAATAATAAACTAGGGCAATACAACATAGATGAGACTACTGTAATTTATGTGCGTAAATGACTGGATAATAGTTCCCAGAGAGTAGTTGTCAATGGTTTACAGCAGTGGTCCCCAACTACAAGATCACTTTTTTTCAATTTAAGTGCAATCCAAGATCTACCTCAAACCCAGATACCCTTGCCCTACTTCCTTCCTGCCCCTACTTTGAGGCCCCACCCCTGCTCCACCTTTTCTCTGAGGCCTCATTTTGCTCACTCCATCCCTCTTCCTCCCCCATCCTCACTCACTTGCACCAGGCTGGGGTAGGGGTGCAGGCTCTGGTCTTGGGCCAAGGGGTTTGGGAGGGGATCTGGGCTTAGCCCAGGGTGGGGGGATTGGAGACCAGGAGGCATTTCATGATGCAAGCTCTGGGAAGGAGTTCAGGTGCAAGGAGACTTACATCTGGGGCAGGAGGTGGTTCAGGGCTGGGACAGAAGTTCAGGAAGCAGGCTCTGACTGGGCACTGTTCAACTGAGACAGCTTCTGAGTTGTGGAGCAGTGTGGTTAAGGCAAGCTTACTCCTGCCCTGGCCCTGCACCACTCCTGAAAGCAGCTGGCATGTACAGCAATGGCTCCATGGCGCCATGTGCTGCCCCTCATCCACAGGCACTGAACCCTTAGTTTCTGCTGGGCACGGTTCCCGGTTATTGATCAATGGGAGCTGCAGGAGTGGTGTCTGCAGGCAAGGACAGCATGTGGAGACCCCCTGCTCTGCCCTTCTCAGGGGCTGCAGGGATATGCCAGCCACTTCCAGGAGCAGCAATTACCATAGGGATAATTACTCAGCCATGACAGGTTAGGTGTTTTAGAAATCAAAGAATTAAATTTAAGTGTAAGAGAAATAAAAATGATGAAGTGCACAGACCAGTCAAAACCCAAAACTAACATACTTTGCAAGCAGTAACAAGAACCCCCCCTCCTTTCCACATACGTATCAGGTCAGGAGATGAGTGTGACGGAGAGTGTGTGTTTGAAAGAACAACAGGCACAGTGTGTGTGTGACACAGATTTGCATTGCCAAACTCCCTCCTCCTCCCCTTCTGTATCCTATCTCTACACAGAGAAGTGGGAGGGAGAAGGGACACCCTGACATACCAGCGCCCCCCTCTTGTCCCTCCCACACCTTGCACAGGAAGCAGGAGGCTCCTAGAGGGGGAAGATCCAAGGCAGAGGGCAGGAGCAGCATGATAGTATGGAGAGTGGCAACTGAAGTGCCAGTACTTGATAGCTTCCTGGCCAAACCAGTCAGGGATAACCTGTCAGAGGCTCCAAGATCTATCAGTAGATCCCGATCTACTGGTTGATGACGACTGATTTACAGTCATGCTAGAAAGGATTCCCATGGAAGCTCATTTACATTGGATTTTTTCAATGATTTTAGATACCAGCAAAGAACAAATTATTACATTTGGGGATGATTCCAAGATGGGAGGAGTTGCAATGGCTTTGGAGAATAGAATTATTATAATAATTCAAAATGATGAGGTAAACAGGATGAAGTTCAATAAAGGACAAATGCAAAGTACTCCACTTACAAAGAAATAATCAGTTGCACACATACAAAATAGAAAGTGACTGCCTAGGAAGGAATATTTGCAGAAAAGGGATCTAGGGACTGTCCGAGTCAGAACTACAACAATGGCTGCCCGTCGCAGGGAGCCATAGCCTGTAATACCTCTAAGGCTGGTATAGGGGGCTCTGTCTGTGAGGTGGAGTGTTTTCCATATAAGGGCATGTAAATTAATAATCTTCCCCTGCTCGCTCCACCCATTGCAGTGAAAGATCAGCCAATGGGCTGACTTGTGCTCAGGCCTGCTACTCCACCCACTGCAGCAAAAACCAACCTATGGGGTGATAAGTTCACAGGCAATAAAACAGGCAGGCAGCCCCTCTCTCACTGGGGATTCGCATCGAGTGAATGCCTGGCCTGATCACCCAGACGCCTTGCACCCCCCGCTCTCGAGTCTTACTGAGCGTACTCCAAGTTGATCGACCTGAGTGGAGACAGTTTATGAGCATGCGACCAGTGGAGATAGTTTATGAGCATGTGACCGGTACTTGTGTTCCTGCTGTCTCCAGAACTGGTATAACCCCCTCCCCCCACCATCATCCCTATCCTAATTGATTTTTTAGTTGTCCTTATTGCTTGTCAAGTGACAGTGGTTAAAAAGTTACTAAGTTAGTTTATAAATAGTTGTGGTTTAGGTTTTTACTGTTTCCTTGTATAAAGTTGTGTAAATAATCAGCCCTATGGACAATACCAGTGTTAATTCAACTGTTCCTAAGCCCTGGGCAGTTATTGGGAATTATTGTGATTTAGAAAAGCCTCAGGGAATTGTTTTGTGTTGTCTGGCAATCTGTTTAATTTTTGTTCTGATGATTGTCTGGCGCCATCAAAATAAAATCAGTTTGTGCTTTTTAAAGCCCCCAGTTGTGGTCTCATCCTTTCCGGCATCCCTTCGAACCTCATGTATTACGGGGACTGACAGGGATTATAGTGGACTACAAGCTTAATATGAGTCAAGAGTGTGACACTGTTTAAAAACAAAAACAAAACACCCACACATTCTGGGATGCATTAATAGGAGTGTTGTATGCAAGACACGAGAAGTAATTCTTCCACTCTACGCTATGCTGATTAGGGTTCAACTCGCTCACTTGCCTTTTAATTGGTTAACCGATTAACTAATTAAATAGGATTTTACAACCCTAGTTTAAACAACCATTTAGAGAAACACTGACCTATCTTGAAAAGGAGTGTGTTTGACTAGTCTGATGCTACCCAAGTCTGAACATCTACTTTTAACATTATACAGGGTAGATTAACTGGATTTATAAAGCTTCTACACACCTTTTACCGATACACCTTGTACACAAAGATGACTACTAAAGAGTGAATACAAGGTGCATTCTCCTCACACAATACATCTAACATAACCCAGTTCTTCCTCAGGCTGCAGATCTGACAAAAATGGATTGGGCCTGGCGCATGTAAAATAGAGAAAGGAGAAAGAACTTTAATAGGAGGTGTTTTGCAGCAGAAGAGAAGCATCTATGGACAAATCTGTCCAATATAATCCTCCCTACTAGGAGATGTGAGAATGAAAACTAGCAGTAGATTTCTTTTTAGCTCCTAAGAGAACGGAAGGGTTCTTGCCTGTTGCTGTCCCACCAAGAGATCTACTTTTGCACAACCACAATGGTGACATTGGCATAGGTAATGAAGTTACTCCTGGGTCTAGGGTGATTTTGATATTGCTAAATCTTTAGAACCTACAGGGACAACTTTTAGGCAAGGACTTTACCCTGAATCAGAATCTTAGTCTGATTTAGGATTTTCTGATCCAAAACCAAAAGATTTGCATGTTATTTGACCGTACTAACAGAAACCCTATCTCACATTCTCTTGAGGACACAGAAGCATGAGATTTTTCCTTGTGGCTTAGCTATTTCAGAGGTCAGGACTGACCAAGTTAGAATGCTTCAAAAGTGAGATCCAGGGATTTGGGAACCAAAGAAACAGAAGTCCTATGGCAGAGACTGAAGTCTTCTTTCTAGTCTCTCAAGTATCAGGGCCATCAGAGTCCTATTTATCTTGACTATAGATCCCTCAGCTGCATCAGATCTGGTCAGCTATGCACCAGAGCATCACAGAAACCTTCCCCTTTCTTACCAAGTTTAGGTCTAGCATGACACATGCTACACAGGTTTATACTCATTTGCTGATGTCACAGTGTATTAACACTCCAAGAGTATCCTGACCAGATACTGAAAAAGTCCATCATATATTTCAAGCGCTGTTGTTTCTACACTGCTCCATACGGTAGCTAGCATTGTCTAATCCTAGACTTTTGCACCTCTAGTCTATGCCAGTCATCGACAACCAAAACTAGCGAGTGGGCTGCATGAGTGGCCCTACTTCCTCTCAATGGCGGGCAACCTGTGACTCACAGCCCATTGTGGTTTCACTTGCAACCCAAACACCCACCTTCTGCAGTGTGTGGGGGAGGGAGGGGGGAGAGGAGCCCTGCACTTTACCTACTCCTCCCTCTCCCACCCAGCACTTGGAGGGTGATGAATCCACTAATTTTGTGCTCTGTTCCCTACTTGTCCCCCTCTCTTCCAGAGCTTGAATAACTGTATGTATATTCAGGGAGCTCCAAGTCTTGGAAGGGAGGGGAGAAGCAGGACTCTAGTGCCCAAAAGGCATGTGGGGGACAGGGGTCCTATCTGCAGCCGCAATAGGCCACAAGTCTTAGGATGCCTACCACTGGTCTATGCCCTGGGCAAGTCACTTGAGTATCTTGCTCCTATGCTGCTCTTCCTTTTCCGTATGACTAAAACCAGAAGAAAGAGGCAAATGACCATCACCTCCTCCACCTAAAGTTTTGTATCATCACCTACTTGGAGGAGTATGTTGTGGGCAACCTTGTTAATGTGTTGATAACTATGTCTCAAAATACAGTATCATTTCTAAGACTATTAAAAATTACTTTGAGAAGGAAACAAGTAGTCTGAAATGCCATTTTGGGTTGCTTTGGGTTTTCACTTCTTATTTTTATATTTGAATAGTCTGAAATGGTATGCAACTGCAAGATGCCTAAGTTGTTCTAAAGCTATAAGAGCAAAAAAAACTCTTCATTTGAATCTCCTGATGAAACAAAATGTGTTATGGCTCCATCTGTCATCACAGCAAAGAGCTTAGTCTCATTTAGAGATCAATCTGCATGTCAAAGTATGAAAAGAGGCTGAGTGAGGTTTCACCTCAAACTTCAGTTCAGACTGTTTCAGGCTAAAATCTTCAGAGATAGAAGCTTACACAGATTTTCAAAAATGACATTGTGTGTAGCTGACACCACTTTTTAGAGGGGAAAGATTTTCACAAAGGGATGAATGCCTAGGCCCTCTGAACAGTTTGCCCAAAAGTAGACTCCTTAAAGGGGCCAGAGAACACACACCCCACCCCCCGAGAAACTTTTACTAAGAAATAACTGTGGGGATTTCTCTCATCTTGGCTCTTTACTCCAATAAACATTGCTGGGTGCTCAACTCTGGAAAGTTAGCCTAATGTAGACTATCTTTGAGAACCTGGGCACAGGTCAAAGACCCTGCCCCTCGGCTCTCCCTCACCCTCCCAAAAAAAGTCCACAGCTGCAGCCCTCAGCATGTGCTGTGAGTATCATTCTGGCCCCCAGGGGCTTCCAAAGTTGAGTAGCCCTGGTCTAAAGCCTTCTACATTCAGCCTACAAGTCCCACCTCCTTAAATATACAGGGCCTTTGATCATGCAGGATCCGAATAATGTTTTAGATTTCCACATCATTCACCAGTCCTGAAATAGAGCCCACTCTAGATGGAACATTGCACCCAATTATTCTGAACCAGACAGCCTTATACAATGTAAGCAAATTAAGAATAGCCTCTCAAACTGAGCGCAACAGATGTTGATTGTTACAGCGCACACACACACACACACACACACACACACACACAGTCAAGGTGGAAAACAAATTATACAAGGAGGGAAAATAGAGAAGCAAGACAAAACTAGCCTTCATTTTAGCGTGCACATCAAGGATGTCTGGAATGCTGCCAAATATGGTCTTAATTTCCTCCTGTGCAAGGATAGGTCCTCCAAGTTGCCCTTCCTTTTCCAACGGAACTTGAAATAACTGTGAAAGTAAGTAAAAAGAAAATTTAACAGAATATCTCAGAGATGAAAGCTTAATGGTGAGAATATACATTACCCACTCTATCAAAATGGAAATATTGCTATGAAGGAAAGATTTGTAGTGTTTTCTATAACCATAACCTTGACAAGAGCATCTCTCTTTATCCCCACACTTCACTGGAGTGTATTGTTTTAAACCCACTACTTAACATGTGGCAAAAAGTACAAGCATTAAATTCATCCATTACCAAATCCATTCAATTCTATAGCCACATTAGAAAATTAGGGCAAAAACTTATGTTACAGTGATGTATAATTGAATCTCTGAGCTCATTCTTAAATGTATGATCAATTACTGCAAACGAGATCTAAAAAAGATGGTATTTAGTATTTTAGTCAAGTCTGTTTTTATAGTTTAAGAAGGCATAATGAACCTATTCCTTTTCTTCAATTCTTATGCTTCTCTCCAGTTCATTAGGGTAGATTTTTTTAATTACGTCAAGAAAAGGGACTCTAATAAATGCTCATTAAGTGTTTTAAGATCTTCCAAGAAGAGGCTAAATCAACCTAGCAAATCAGTGGTGAAACTGAAAATTAAACAGTGAGACTCAGATACAGTAATAGGAACACTAACTTACCTGAATAATTGTTGTCAGAATATCTACATAGTTACTTTCTGTCTGATAGAGTTCTTTTGCAACCTGCCATCTTGCAGACTGCTTTGAAGGCAGAGGAGTTGAATTTTTGGAAGGCTTTGCACATGATTTTGGTGTTTCTGATGAAAAGGAAATAGACTACTTTAGAAATGTGTTAAACAAATCTCTCCAGGAAGTTCTTGTTTTTCAGTGAGGATTCTCAAGATTTTTAGAAAGATTATACTAAGCTGTTTTTGTTAAGCGTACCCCCTTTAATATAAAAAGTTGTAGAAAGGTTAATATTTTGACATATGGAGCATATTTGTTCCATTAATTAGTAGCACTATTTTTTACTAACAAAAGTACTAGTGTAAACAATCAGGAGTGAGGGAAAACACAAAATCCCACTCCTGACGCGCCTTTCCCCACAAAAAGTGCCAGTGTGGACAGC